CTCGTTCCTGTGAAGCGCTGCTTGGAAATAACAAGATGGTGGCCCTGAGCTCCCTGCAGTGCTGCCGTTTTGAAGTACCCCTTCTTGCCTTCCTCTGATAGAGACAGTAAATGGGGGGGAATGACTAGTTGACTTGCCTATCCGATAAGCATTTGCTTATCAGATAGTCAACTAGCTGACTAGTCCTTAAGGATATGTCTACACTAGCCCCCTAGTTCGAACTAGGGAGGCTACTGTAGTCATTCGAAATTGCAAATGTAGCCCGGATTTAAATATCCCGGGCTTTATTTGCATGTTCCCGTCCGGTCGCCATTTTGAAATTCCACTAGCCTGAAGTAACTGTCCGCGGCCACATGACTTAGTTTGAATTACTGTTTCACTGCCGCGTGTAGCCGCAGACAGTTACTTCAGGCTAGTGGAATTTCAAAATGGCGACCGGACGGGAATATGCAAATAAAGCCTGGGATATTTAAATCCCAGGCTTCATTTGCAATTTCGAATGCCTACGTTAGCCTCCCTAGTTCGAACTAGGGGGCTAGTGTAGACATACCCTAACATCCTTAATACCGACCATAGTTTGAGGCCCATGTTTCTTATTACTGAACTCAAATACTGGAATCATTAAAAGAAAGCCTTAAACATGGCTAGGGTTGCCAGATACTTTCACAAAAAATACCTAATATGGCGGGAAAAAAATTGGTTGAGCAAAAAAAAAAAAAAAAAGCATCACAGACCTTTTATATCCCCACACTCTCCCTGCCCCCACCAGACGCACCAGGTGTCCAGGCCAATACCAGGCATCTGGCAACCCTAAACATGGCAAAGTCAAGACTGGGGTTAAGAAGTGGCCATATTAAGTGAGTGGAAGAGTTAGAAGAACTGGATATTTTGGACCATGAAGTGGTAGTGAATTAGCTGATAAGCATTGCAGATTTCTGCGCTAGCCTCAAAACAAAAACCAAAAGTACAATTTCACATACAGCTAAAAACAATAACACATACTAGCTATTGCATTTGTATCCCAATAACATGCCTTTGTAGTTGAAGCAATATTATAAGAACTTTGTACTGCACAACAGCATATTTCAAGAGTGCTATGAAGTACAAAACACAGCAGTGTATCTGAAGAGTAAGTATGAAGAAAGGTATAAGTAATGTGTTAAGAAAAGATGGCATCGGTGTATGCTATGGGTAAATCTTCTGTAAAATAAAGCCATTACAGCTAGACCTAGCCAGAGCAACAGTACTGAGTCTTACAGTTACACTGCTAAACCAGTGATGGGCCCAAACAGCAATATTCAGCTTCTGATCAGAATTTCATCCAGCTGCAAGTTTTTACCAGGGATGAGGAGGAGGTTGGATTAACTCTGGTTTGGACCTAAATATGCTAATCAGGAGTTTTAATTGAGGCCTACCTGCAAGACCTAGGCCTTGGAAAATTATAGCTAAAAAGCAGTGATAGTCATGATGCAATACATACAAAAGGTCTTAAAAATGTGTGTTACAGATGGCTTCAGTAACTCCAGCACACATTTGGCAATGGCTCTTTTGAATGATGGTTTAACTATTGGAATATCAATTACGGAAATAACACAACCACAACATACAGTAATACAACTTTAGCAGTAATCTCTCATATATTATCAAAAACAAACGTTTGGCTGCCTGAAATTAAAAACAAAGACGACATTGATATTTTACAACTATACTCATAGTTGCTCTTGAAAAAATAGTTTTGACACAGCTTTTAAAAATACAACTTATTCTTGTAAAATGAAACTTTATTCTAAAATGTATCCAAAATTGCAAGACACAAGCACCATTAAACAGATAAATAGACATATATTTATGTACAGAGAGCATCAAAACACAAAACAATTGTTAATATAATTCTTATACTATTTTAATGAGTTTCCATCAATAAAACTTTAAAATTCAAAGAAGACTTTTCAGTTGCAAAACAGTTGTAAAATCATATGTATAAATTATGTCTAATACAATTCCAATAACAGAGGCAAAGTAAAATACAAAAATAATCAATACTGCAAATGCAAATACAAAACCCAAAATAATGTAGCACAGGTACGTATGTACACTTGATGAATTCATGCAGCTAAGCAGTGCAACAAATTAACTGCTTAATTCAATGTATCACGAAATGGAACAACCATGTCTGCAAGCAGAAGAAAATATATTTTGTAATAAATCATAGTGCATTTAGAAGTTCAACTTTATAAAATGATTGCTAAGTGATAGATTTCTAAAATTCCCTATGTGATCTGACAGTCCTCAAATTCCTTTTCTGCAAAATAACATATAAAGGACATAAGATTTAAAAAAACAACCAACCAACCATTCTAGAACAGATTTTGATGCCATATTTTTATATGTATTTGTACTCATTTTGGTTTTTAGTCTTGGTATCAAACGTATTTCCCAATGTCCATCATGTCTCTAATGACACGTTACAACTACTTCCTCAAGAGAATCTTCCACATTCAAATGCTATATTTCACAAATGGAATCTAACACAGTGCTAAGACTGCACTGGTTTAAAGAGATAACTTTGTAGTTTAAAAAAGGCAACTATGAACCTCCAAGAATCAGAGAGAATGAGAGAAAAAGGGTAGTATCTAGAGAGAAACTACTTTGCTTCTGGGGTTTATAATATATTTGATTACACAAACACTAAAATAACTGGCTTTATGGCTTGCTAAAAATATGATAATGCATTAGACAGGTAATATCTGTGAAGTTCTGTTCCCTTTCACAGTGTAGAAGGCTGCAAACCACTCTGGTTGGTGAAGTGAAACAAGCCTCACAGAGCCATATAGAAAAATACTTGAATGTTGTAAATGTGCTAGAAATAGTAAAACTAAATTAAAATAAGGAACTTTATTTAAAAAGTGATTTTTTTGTGTAAACCTGTTTTGCTCTTGATTGGTATATTAATATCAAAGCACATAGATACTACTGAGATTTATACTTCATAAAATATTAGTGGTTGTGTCAAAATTAGATGAGATGCAGTTGTACAGTCTGACACTTGTGTCTCTGAAATTTACGTGCTAAGCACGCTCAGTGTTTTCACTAGAAAGAAGTTAGTAAAATGCTACATTACTCTGCTGAAAAGATACAGCAGCATACATCTCTGTGAAGGCCCTTCTGCATTCTTTGTGCTCTCAAATAATTGTCAAGTGAATGGGGGTTGTGAGTAAACAGGAGATACAGGATGGAGCCTGTATTTGGGTAAACACAATATATCACATTTGTGTAGCAGTATTTCCGTCTAATTGCTTTTCATGCAGTTCCCTGGATGGGGATGGCACAGAGCAAACTGTACTCTGTGTTTAATGATCATATGAAGAATATGACTTTTTAAAATGGGTAATGGTAGCCATCACTGGGTGAAATGTATGCACTAGCCTAAATCATCTAAAATGTTCTTATGTCAGATGTTTCCATATTAAAGAAGGACATCAGACTTACTAGACAGCAGTTAAAGATATCAAACAGTGAGGAAAAGTGGAAGAAGTTTATATATTCACATATGTTAAAGGCACAGGAAATAAAAGGTATGGTAGTGGTCTACATTTAGTGTAAATTATAAATAATTTTTCCTATTCATGAAATAGATATTTCTCTCTAAACTGCATCAAGTTCATAGAATGCTAAAAAAGAAATTATAAATAAGAGTGGCACATTAAAAATGATTAATGCTACATATAATCACAAACTAATCGCTATATTCTTGCCTCTCTTTGCAGGTTAGCTGGGTCATCTTCTATATCCATGGAATGGAAATTCCTTTAGAATGTAAAAATTAATCATTCCCTATAGATCTACCAATTCAGCTAGAATTGTATTAGCTGAGTCACAAAATGAATCCTGTTGTTTTGATGAACCTCAAAAGCAGCTGCCATCGCCCTTGCCTTTCTAATTACAACAATTGTGCCATTTGCCCTTTTCCCTTCATTCAATGAAACCCGGGAATAGCAAGAGAAACTGCCCCATTTTCATGTGAGTATACATTTACATTAAGATGATTCTTGAACATAACTTTTGGCTGCAATTCAGACCCTGAAATATCTAACTGGTAAGCACATAATAAACAGCCTTTCTGACTCCATTCAGTGGCACACAATAAGCACAATAATTTTCAATACAAAATGACTTGCAATTCAGAAAAGAAAGCAGATAAATCAATACAGCTGCTGACAGACTCATGAAAGAAAATGAAATCTTCTCTTGCCTGATGAAGTGATTAAGCCAAGTTCAGAGGTAAATGCTGCATCTCATTACTTTGGGTGTTAGAGTTGGGCACACTAATAAAGTGATAAAGGCATGAGTGACCATGTTTATATATTTTTAAAATCTCCACCAGTGTTCCCTGTAAGCTGAGCACTTGAGTGGCCACCCAGGAAAGATTCAAATGCTGCCCAGCTACACAGTAGCATGTGTTTCTACTGGCAGTGCACATCTTTACATGTCTTGGTGCTCATAACAAACAAAAATTAGAGGGAACACTGATCTCCACTGTTTCTTAACTTGTAGCAGGAGATCTTCCCACAATCAATATTATGATTTGGTGATTTATTGGGGAGTGTTGGTAAATTGCACTAGAATAACTGTAAAACCTGGAGTGTTGGTGTTAGGTACAAGCTGTGGGTCTTATGGTGGAATATGCTATGCCAGGATCTTGCCAGTCCATGCAATAACACCGCCTGAAAGTAGATAATTAATCTAAAATATGTTATTTCCACATCTCCAAATTGGGATGTAGAAAAAGGCAGACATGTACACAAGATAGTATGACAAATATGAACTGCCCTTGCAACTGATCTTCTCAAAATACCAAATTCATAATCTGTTATATCTATTACTTCCAAATAGCGTGCTCTGTTCAGTAATACTCTTGAGAGAAGGAAAATAAATGATAAATTCCATACATAGAAAACTCATCTGAAACAAACACTATGCACATTTTTTTTAGATTACCACAACTTACTATTCTGAAATAAGATAGCAACAAACATGATGGGTTGATTTTAGCTCATCTGTGTAATGGTTCCTTAGTTGGCTACTTTAAATAAATGAATCTCTTTTGTGTGCCCATCAAAGATTATTAATAGAAAAGAACAATACCTGCTGAGTTAAGACTAACATTTTTAAAAGGGGTAAAATCTCCTAGAACTATTCAAACAAAAATAATTTCAAATTCTGTCTATTCAAAAAAGAAACTGAAGGTAGATGAAGATTGAAGAGTACAGAAAATCATGCAGTATTTCTCACAAATTCCAATTTTGTTTTGGGATGAAATTGTCATTGACAATAGTGTGAAGGCCAAAAGATGAATTTGGGATGGAGGACCTGATCCCAAGATTTGGAATACCCATGGAATTGATTCATGGTTGCTGCTGTAACACCTGGGCTGTAATAGGAGCTGCAGCATTGCAAGATTTGAAGGTGCTTTGTGGTTAGTTGAGCCACACACTATTCATAGAACCATTGGCCAAACCCCAGTCACTCCTGTGTCTTGTCACAATTTTTCCTTGAGGTATAACCATGGAGCTT